AGTCGATACATCATATGGCTTCTCTCTTTCTTCATTTCATATTTCGTTTTTGTTATTGCAGTATGGACGAGTTTTTTGAATGCTTTGACGCTTGGAATCAAAGCGCAACGAGCAGCGGTATTTGGAACTGGACTCGATCAGCATTTGGTGCGGCATCAGTATCGGACTTAGCTGGAACTTCACAAGGTGTTTTAGCTGCTGCTTGTGGTTTATATTTATAACGTTTCTTCATGCAGAGATACAAATGGAATGCTCGATTACTGCTAGATTTTCTTCCTTGTCTGCTACCTTGCTGTACGACAAAGTCCCGGATGGACTACAATTGGTCTTCAAAGATGCAACCCTGCATACTCTTCTATCTGGAGAAGAATCCAGAGTCGATGCGGACGTGATGCTCATCGAGGCTACTCAATTGGCGCCATCAGTTATGCAGAAGCAGTGCTTTGACAGAATATCACAGATGGTGCTACCTGGTTTCCCTATTAGCCTTCACGGTGGCCGTGGGCTGAAGGTTTTCAAAGTAGCATCTTCTCCTGGAAGTCCTGCAGTACACTTGGCTCTAAAAAAGTATCATCGGGCTGGTTCCGGAAACGCAAGCTTCGTTGGCACGAAAGTTTCGCTCGTTCTGCAACCTGTGGTACTGTGGACTGATGTTGATAATCTGAACAAGTTGGCCCAGACTCTTGATCGGGTTCAAGCTTCTTCAGAGAGTAGCAACAGGCAAGAGGAAGACGTTGGAAATCCCGTCAGAAGTGACTGCAAATTGAACTTATCGGTACTGTCAGTGAGAACATTCCTGACTGCGGCTAACAGGGGAAAGGCTGGATTTCTCTTAGACGTCGGACTCACCAGTGAGCGAGAAGCTCAAGTGTTCGTCTATGAACATCAAAAAGGAAGCAGGGGGAAGCTTCAAAGCGTAACTTTGGCAGTTACCGACGGCATGCTCTACTCGATATCCAGCTCAACTTACGCTGAAGTTGTCAGACTACGAAGCGATAGTCAGGGAAAAGCATGCGTAACTATCAAGTGGACCGAGAACAACAAGACTGGGCCAAGGGTTGCCAGGAAGATCTGGGATGGGATTGCTGCAACCAAGAAAAAACATGCAGGATCCGGAAGACACAACTTCGACTATGCGTCAGCTACTGCTTTGAGTTCAGACTCTACTTCTGCAACGGTGGAGCTACTCACGGCAACGTCCTCTTCGAACGTACACATCTCTCTTCCACGTCTCCGCTTCACTTTCTCGGACCAACCTGCAGTCTTCGAGCTCTTGGCATGTCTCACAAGTTCGGAGCCGGATGCGTCCTCCTGTACTAAACAAGTTCCACAGATGGTACTCACACTTGAAGTTCGTGAAGTCCAAGCTGTCGTCGGTGTCTCTCGATTTGTCGACACTTCTAGCAAAGGGGTGAGACTGGCGGACTTCTTGCAACTCAAAAGTTCAAGGCTCAAGCTTGTTGCTGGGGTGGCTCTAGGTGGAGATCCAGGCGCTTTATATCTCCATATTAATCTTGGTGAAGGGGAAATCCGCGAAGGCGGACGCAATGCCGTGGTCTGCTGGAAAGCATCCGCTATTGGTCGTGGTGATGGTGGAGCACAGAACGCACTCTCGCGCGGCACTGCAGGACTGAGCATGAACTTGGTAGCTTGGCCTGGCAACGGACAAGAACCAGACGTGCTCGTAACAGGTTGCATGCGTGGTGCTACTATTTTCACTAAAGGTGGTAACTTTGACTGGGTACCGGCCGTGGTGAAGTTCTTGGAAGAATGCAAAGGGGCGTTCCAAAGGATGGATTGCGACCAGCAAGTTGAACCTTCCCGACGGCCATACTTTCTGTTTGATCTTCACGACGTAGCGTTGGTCTACGAACCAGTTGGTCCGACGAGTTCAATCTCGTGCGCTCTGGCTGCTGCTGCTTTACGGGTATCTAGTGGTGAGGTTACGGACAGTGATACGCAGGAGTATTGCATCTCTCTCAGAGATCTGGGTCTTCACCTCGTGGACACGAAGTTGAGAAAGCCTGGCGATATGGGAGGTGCATCACTACAACTGCTTGGCTTTGTTCAGGTTTGTATTATCCTTCAGTAGTATAACGCTTGCTAATTGTTGATGTTCTTATACAGGTAGCTAAGTCGTCAGTTGTTGGTGCTTTGGTTAAGCTTAGCAGCACCGACAATCCGAGCTACGAAGTAATATCGGCTGATAATCAGCTCAACTTTGATACTTGCTCCGATACTATTGCAGCGTTTGGTCGACTTGTGGCGGATTTGCAACAACTATTTGCTCCCGATTTGCAACAGACCGTGGAACTACAACTCCGAACGATGAAAGGAAAGTCGGCAGAGAATATGTCGTCCACGGGAGATGAAGGAGACCAAACACTTGACCCTGCAGACAAACTCACAGACGGGTTATTTGAGGGGCTGGTGGAAAACGCCTTTGGCTGTGCGAAAGTTCTTGAGGTGAAGCAGGTAGAGTGCTCGACGTCGAGTACAGTCCGTCAAGAAGCGTCAGTGAAGCTGGTTGCTACGAGATCTCGTGGGGAAGCCTGTGAGCCCACTTTTATCGAGGACTTCTTTGTGATGGAGCATGCGCCGCATATGAGCCCAACCTCTAGTCAAGAAAGCGAAACAGAAACATCGACATCTCAACACAGTGATTCAGAGTCGAGAGGTAGCTGGTACCAAGATTCTCCGGTGGATGTTTTCGATAATCATGTTCCGTTGGAGTGCGTCAGCCCGAGAAAGAATGCCAGAAAGGAGGCGAACTATCCGCAAGCTCTCGGCAGAGTGATTCTCAATGGCTTGAAAGTGCGGTGGAGACTATATGGAGGGTCGGACTGGCTGAATGCAAGGCAAAGGGACCGCTGTGTGGAAGTTTCGGTCGTCGGAATGGACGTCCAGTACGATGCTTTTGCACCAACAGGGCTGTATGCATCCAGTCTTCTCGTGGAGATTCACGACGTTCACGTTTACGACTATAGTGTGGACGCGCGTTGGAAACTGGTAAGCTTTTCTTTTCTCACTCTTTCTATTCTAAATGAGTGGGATGGTGCAGATCTTGGGCTATTATCACAAGCGGTCGCGTCCACGAGAGTCCACTTCTAAGGCTGTTGTAGTTCGTATGGATGCTGTGAGGCCAAATCCCTTGGCTCCATTGGAAGAATACAGGTTTGTGACAATTCTTTTTCTTCCTTTTTTTTTATCTCTTAATTCTTCGTTCTCTTTTTTCAGACTCTCTCTGGCGTTGTTGCCTATATGTTTACATCTCGACCAAGCTCATGTCGATTTCTTTGGCAAATTTTTTCAGTCGGATACGAACACTGACGATGATTCTTCCTCTTTGCCTGGTGCAAATGAAGATGCAATTTTACCATTCTTTCAGGTAAAGCAAAGAACGAATGTCGACTCTGCTTTTACATTTGATTGTCATGCAGGTGTGTGAAATGCGACCCTTGATAATACGGGTCGATTATATTCCGCGACGGCTGGATTTTGGGGCCTTGAGAAGCGGGAATTGTTTTGAGCTCTTTAATATGGTGTCCTGGAAGGTACTGCTGTTTCCTTGCAAATCAAACGTGTTAACAATGTTTATGCAGGGTGTGGAGCTCCATCTCAAGTCTGTGCATACGTCCGGGGTCTATGGATGGAGCAGTCTCATGGGTTTGTTACTCGGTGAATGGCTCGAGGATATATTTCCCCGTCAAGTCCACAAGCTACTGAGGGCCTTTGGACCAATACGTCCTCTGTATGCTGTAAGCTCCGGCGCTGCAAAGCTGATAGTTTTCCCAGCGGAGCAATACAAGAAAGACAGAAGATTTCTCCGGGGAATGAGGAAAGGTGCGTATATGGTCTTTTTTTACTTCTATCCGAAGCGGTCTCAAACTCGAGCCATGCAGGGGCTGTGGCTTTCCTTCAGAGCATTTCTGTGGAGGCATTGGGCCTGGGAGCAAATTTGGCTGCTGGAGTCCATCACATTCTTTTGCATACAGAGATGGGCTTGGGCGGACGCATACCTTCGGATAGAAAGGATGCGAGGCGCAAGTTCCAGCCAAGTGATACTCGTGAGGGCTTCCAGCAGGTACTTCGTTAAGGGCTTTTGTTTCACATACAAGGGATGGTTTTCGGCAGGCTTATGAGAGCTTAGCTCAAGGTTTGGAACGAACAGCCATTTCCTTGGTTGGGAATCCCGTTAAAGTTTATCAGCGAGGTGGAGGCGCCGGAGAAGCTCTTGCGAATGCTATCAAGGCTTCGCCAGCAGCAATTCTTGCTCCTGCGTCCGCTACTGCGGACGCCGTACGTCATGCATTTCTGGGAGTTCGTAATGGGTAAGTCACTTTCTATCTTTCTTACGCTTGAAACAGTGTTACTCAAACTCTTAAACTCAGAATG